ATATTCAAAGTCCATCAATAATTGTGATTTAGAATCACTTTCCTTTTTCAAGACTTATACATTTGTCTTAACATAAGTAGTAGTAGAACACACGGTTAACTCTTGACTAATAACTCAAGACTTATACATTTGTCTTAACATAAGTAGTAGTAGTAGTATCGCTTTGTACTTAGTCAACTATTACTACGTAAAATGGGATACAAAAGAAGTATTAGTCAAGAGTTAACCGTGTGTTCACACTTCAAAGTCAATTTGACAATTGACTTGCGAATAATTTAGAGTTAATACCCTCAAACCCGTCTAAACTATACGATCTTTGTCAGTTTTCTACCTAAACTATCGAGTGTCCCCGAAAACCCCCTGAATTATATCCCTCTTCATAATAAAACCCCCCGTCTAATTCTTACTACTGCGTATGATACACGCTCTAAATAAATTATAAAACCTGCCATGTGACATGCCACGTGTATAATTAATCTAATTAATCTTAAAACAGACTTAATTAGCCTACAATAATTTAATTATGTTGTAATTTATTTTGAGTGGGTTTTACTCTCTCTATTAAGTAAGTCGGTCATTTACTCTCAGTCAAAAAAATGTCTCTCATCAGAGAAGAACTCTCATCGGACCTTCGATTTCTCTTCTTTAAAATTAGGGTTTAAGAATATCTTCCTCCGATTGTTGCTAGTTGCTACCATCGATTTCTCTTCTTATTGTGTCGTATCGATCTATTATGCACCTTTGCATCTAGCATTGGGTAGACCTCATACAATAACTGTCCTAGCTCTACAATTGAAATAACGCCTTCTTCCTTTTCCAAAAGCTATCTACCCCCAGAGGGAAAGGTACTTCCCTTTTGGGCCAGTTGTGGGCGAGGAGGGATTCGAACCACCGACCAAACCACTTGGGCACTAGGCCCAATGTGAGTTGGATCACTGCTGTTGAATCCATGGGCAGGCAAGAGACACCGTGGTTCGTAGCCACGTGCTCTAATCCTCTGAGCTACAGGCCCCACCCCGTCTCCGCTCATATTCACGATTTTGATGAAGTAATGGTGGATGCTGCTATTTCGAATTAGGAGTAAAGGTAGGATTTTGCAGGTGAATCAGAACAAAATTACGGCTTAGAGTTTTGCTGGTGAAATATCTTCCTCTGATTCTTTAAAGATTCTGAAGATTATTAAAGAAGAATGCTTCAATACAGGTTTTATTCTTTATTCCCTATTAATTTTGTTGCGAAATTATGATAGGTAGGTACTGCGATTTAGTTCGTAGTAGAAAAATTTGGGTCTTTTTTTGAGGTGTTAGATCTTTCTGCTTGTCGATGTTTGTTTGTCGAATATATAGTTGCATGCATGCTGCTTATTGTTAGTTTTAGATTTCGGGTCTTTTTATGTTAGATTAATAAGGTGCTCTGTGTTTTTTCCTTATTCTTTGCTATTTTTTATTGTTATTTTAGGGTAATGGCAAACAAATATCTGAATTTGAGATTTCATATTGGTGGTATGCTTGTGAGTGAGGTAGGGCCAGTTTATGCTGGGGGGAACATTGAATATGCCTTTAATGTGGATACGGACAAACTGTCTATTCCAGATTTTGTTGATTATGCCAAGGATTTTGGGTTTACCAATGTAGGAAAATGTATATTGTATCTTCTAAGGGTGGCAGTTTGGTAGAATTGAAAAATGATAGGGATTTGTTGGTACTTGCTGAGCTGTTAAGTAATAAGGACACAATAGACATTTATATATGCCATAAGAGAGATAATGTGGTCCAGAAATAGCCACGTGACTAGTGGGGTCGTTGAAAAATCTTTCAGTAGGGTTGTTGAAGGTTTCAATGCACCTTTAGGTTCCCAAATTGAAAATATTGATTGTAGTGGTCAAATAGAACCCCATGAACAGTCACGTGTGGTAGAAAAACTTCCTAGAAACTCCTTAGTAGATGAAGATGAAGACTTAGAGGAAGATAGTGATAAATCTAGCAGTTTTGATGATGAAGAGCATGAGGCTGATTATGGTAGTGATGTGCATGAAGAGTTGAACATAGTTAAAACAGATTTGAAGGCTTATAAGAAGAAAAAAAGAACACCAAGAAAGAAAGTTGTTGCTGAGTGTTTTCTTGTCAAGTTGACTGAGGGGGTGTGTAGTTGCAGAGCTTGGCAACTAAAAGAGATACCTTGTGCACATGGTGTGGCTGCAATTCATCACAAGAGACTTAATCCACTTGACTTCATTTCTGAGTGGTATAAGAAGGAGACCTACCTAAAAGTTTATTCTCATTTCATACAGCCAGTACCATGCATGGAGATGTCGCCTGAGTCAACAAATGCAAATGTTGAACCATCTCCTGTTAGAACAATACCTGGAAGGCCCCCCCTGCCCTCCCCCCCTCCCAAAAAAAAAATAAAGGAGGATGGGGAGATAAAAAGCAGTGGCAAGCTTACAAAGAGAGGAATATATCAATGAGTTGCTCAATTTGTAAGTCCATAACTCATAATAGAAGAAGATTTCCAAATAAACCTCAAAGCACTTCGGAGGTACTTTCTTTCCCCTTCATAACTTCTGTTAATTTACAAAGCCTGTTAATTAATCTTCCACCTCTGTTATTTTCTATTTTTGTTATATTCTATTAGCTGTTAGAAATTTATTGTTAGTTACTTTTGTTCATTTACTTAGCATTGTATCAGCTGGTTCTGTTAATTTGCATTTTGTCAACTGTTACTGTTTTTTACTGTTTCTGTTACTTTCTGTTATCTTGCATCTGTCAGCTATTGCTGTTTTTGTTAGTTTCTGCTGAATGTTAGAAACTGATTGCTAATAACTTCTTGGCAGTACAACTTCTGTTATAGGCTGCTTACTGCTGTTATAGGTTGTTTCTGTTATAACTCCTTAGCATGTTTCTGTTAATTTGCACTTCTGAATGTTGTTTTTGTTATAGCAGCTGTTAGTTTGGTACTATTATGTATCAGTTAGTTGTTAGCTTAAGTTCACTGTTAGTTTGGGACTGTTATGTATCGGTTAGTTGTTAGTTTGGGACTGTTAGTTCTTATTGGGGCTGTTGTGTATCAGTTAGTTCAGCTTCCTAGCATTTGAACAACCAAAAATACACATTGAAACATATACTAATAATAAGCAGCATCTTCAAATTTTTCTTCATCTTCAAGTCAACCTCAAGTTCCATTTTATCCTTTTGTAAGCCAAGAATTATCACCTTCGATTAGCCAGGAAATTCCGGATCATACCACTGGAAAAATCCACAAGCCACACGATCCTTAGCCTGAAAATTTTAACCAAACCATTATAAATAAAAGCAAAATTTAGCCATATTATATTACATAAAATATGATGATTTGAAAGTTGATTACCCCATAGTACTTGCATCCAAAAAACGTCTTCCTGGGTTAGCATTTGTCGTTGATGTTCTCAAAGAAGCAGGCTGCCCACAACCACAAAACACATTAAACCTCATGACTTTTCTACAATGGTTGTTCTTCTTTAAAATTAATTTGGGTAACAATGAAGGATGGATAAAATGAGAAAGATAAAAAATAAACTCAATAAACAGAGAGAGAATATCAAATGGATTAAGATGAAAAAAGAGATAAAAAGGGTGAAGAAATTGTGAAGAAAGGTGAAGAAATAGAGAAGAAAGGTGAAATAAATGAAGAAGATGGTGTAATATAAAGAAAAAGGAGATAAACTATAAGTTTTTTTAATAAATGGGCTAATTAGTCATTATTCAAGCTGTTAGGTGGGGCCCCTTTTCATGCTGATTTTCACCGTCGCGCTCTTGCGCAACTGATTTCACACGATATGTCACATAAGCGACAGGGGGGTTTTATATATGAAGGGGGATATAGTTCTGGGGGTTTTCGGGGACACTCGATAGTTTAGGTAGGAAACTGACAAAGATCGTATAGTTTAGGCGGATTTGAGGGTATTAACTCAATAATTTATCATCTATGTTTGCTCTTGGATCCTCAAATATGTCGCCGCACCTTGTCAACTCCATAATGAGTAACTTTTGAAAAATCCAACAACACAACTCAGTAGCATTTTTGAAGGACTCGAGCACCATAGTTTATAGTTTAAATAAAAGAAAAGTTTGGAATTAACCAATTCACTTGGTTGAGGAAGAATAGTCATTTTGTCCAGGTAACTTCCAGGAAGAATGATAGCTTTGAATGTCATTTTCATAAGAAGATAAGACTAGTTCAAAGCATTTATAATATCCTTTTAAAGAAAGACCATAGTTTATAATATCCAGGTTAGATAGGATTAGGAATGAAGTTATTCGGGAGAAGGTGGGGGTGGCCCCAGTAGATGAGAAGATGCGGAAAGCGAGGCTCAGGTGGTACGGGCATGTGCGGAGGAAAAAGCCCCGATGCCCCGGTGAGGAGTTGTGAGCGGCTAGCGGTGGTTGGCGCGAGTCGAGGCAGAGGGAGGCCCAAGAGGTATTGGGGAGAGGTGATTAGGCAGGACATGGCTAGAATGCGGATTTCTGAGGACATGGCCCTTGATAGGAAAGTCTGGAGGTCTAGTATCAAGGTTGCAGGAAAGGGGCTTCTAGAATTTTTCGTACTTCTGTCCCGGGGCTGGGGGGGGGGGGGTGTTTGGTAGGGCTCTCCATAGATGATCTGTGTATTGTATTGTGCCCCCTTATGGTAGTTACTGGTCGATATATTTGCATGCCATTTTGTTTATGGTTTATGTTTAGATAATTATTTATGTGATCTCTGCTGGAGTTACTAATGCTCTTTTGTTTTTTGTTTTTTGTTTTTGTTTTCCTTTTCCTTTTCCTGAGCCGAGGGTCGATTGGAAACAGCCTCTCTGCCCTTTCGGGTAGGGGTAAGGCCTGTCTACGTATTACCCTCCCCAGACCCCACCTTGTAGGACTATACTGGGTAGTTGTTGTTGTTGTTGTTGTTGTTGTTGTTGTTGTTGTTATTTTAAAGAAAGACCACAATTTAGTAGAAGAATTTTCCAAGTATGACTAAATCCAATAAGTACAAAAGATCAACCACAGTTCTTTTAATAAAAGAATCTCATTGAAAGAAAGAAAAACGGATAAGAGCAAGATGGAAATTGAGAAGAAACTCTATCAAGCTGCAGTTGAAGGAGATGTAACAACTTTACAAGAATTACTTCAGCAAGATGCTTTAATTCTTGATAGACTTACCTTAACTTGCTTCAATGAAACTCCTTTGCACATAGCAACAATGCGTGGGCATGTTGAGTTTGTGAAGTTAATTCTGGCTCAAAATCGTCAGCTTGCTGCTGAACTGGATTCGCGAAAGTCTTCTGCTCTTCACATAGCTTCAGCTAAAGGACAATTACAAATTATCAAGATGTTGTTAGTAGTGAATCCTGATATATGCTTAGCCCGTGATCGCGATGGTAGAAATCCTCTCCATCTAGCAGCCATCAAAGGTCGAGTTGAAGTCATCAAAGAACTAATACAAATCAGGCCTCGAGCAGCTCTAGGAACGACGATCAGTGGGGAAAACGTTTTGCATTTGTGTGTGAAGCATAATCAGCTGGAGGTTCTCAAGGTGCTGATGGAGATTGGAACATGGGACAATGAATTTTTGAATGCAAAGGATAGTGATGGCTTCACCATTCTGCATTTGGCTGTTGCTGATAAGCAAATTGAGGTATGCTATTGTTCCTTAGAAAAGAAATTGACTTCATTTTTTTTATAACCGTGGTGTTCAGGCTAGCTTGCGCACACCGCGACTAATTTCACGTGATACCTGTTATCTCCCACCAGCAACAGGTACAAGGTAACTCTGTCCACCAAGGCTTAAACAGATGAGAAGAAATCATGCACCTAATGTTTTTTCTCTCCGTTAGGATTTGAATTTGAGACCTTATGGTTCTCAACTTACTTCATTGACCACTAGGTCACACCCTTGGGTGTGAAATTAACTTCATTTTCTTATAGTTATTAAACCACCTACCATTGTTGCAGACTATCAAATACTTGCTAAAGACCAATCAAATAGATGTGAATGCAATGGATGCAAATGGAAATACAACATTAGATATTTTAGCACAAAGTAGGAGGGACGTGATTGATCGACAAATTGGAGACAGTATCAGAGATGCTGGAGGTTTAAGAGCAAAGGATATTATAGTATCCAACATCAAAAATGATATCAAAATTCCGAATAAATCAGCTGCAAATCCGCATTCATTACCAGCCTCAACAACACCAGCATATTTAGGCGGAAATCAGGCCCAAAACCACCCATCAAAAGGCGATTGGCTATCCAAGAAACGCGAAACAATAATGGTGGTGGCCTCACTTATTGCAACCATGGCATTCCAAGCTGGAATGAACCCTCCAGGAGGTGTTTGGCAAGAACAAGGAAAATTGGATAATAAGGGAATACCTTCACATAGAGCAGGGGAAGCAGTAATGGCTTATAATCATCCCAAATCGTATCGATATTTCCTTCGTGCCAACACCATTGCCTTTGTCTCTTCTCTCAGCACAATCTTGCTGCTCATCAGTGGATTGCCGTTCAAGCGCAGGCTGTTCATGTGGGGTTTGATGGTTATCATGTGGTTAACAGTTACCACTACAGCTCTCACTTATGGCATATCAATTTACATCGTCACGCCTAAAAAGGACAGTGAACCACTTGGTCAGGTTATTGAAATTGGAGTTATAGTATGGTGTGGTTTAATGGCACTACTTCTACTTGGAAACACTTTACGTTTGTTGCGTATATGGCAGAAAAAAAGGCATAAAATAAGATCAGCAGCAGCACGAAAATCTGCAAATTCAGTTTATGTCAATGTTTGATATGCTGTATTGATAAATAGGTTATTCATGTTTGTTCTTATTGTCTCATTTTATCGTCAAATGTTATGAATCTAAAAGCAGAATAAATTGGTATTCTTTCAAAGTTTTCATCATAATAGCTTTTAAATTGGGAAAAAGTAAAAAGTTAATCAAACAGAAACTTCTTGCTAGCTTCTAAAATGGCTTGCATCACTGTGCATATGGTTTATACACTCACTTTGATTATTCAAACTGCTCTCTTTGTTTCTAGTCAACATTTATTTATTAAATTAAACAATATTGACAATTCACTAGTACACATAATAATTTAACAGAGAAATTTCTCTGCTTCTAGCTTAGTGTTTTCCAGTCAACCACATCTAAACTTCCAGCTTTTAAAATTACCAGTTAAAAGAAAGTTTGGCTCGAGTTCATCTTTCTCAATCAACCAGAAACAATTGATAAGAATGCTTCAATTATTAAGTGCCGATAGATTAATTATATGACAATGGAGATTAAACTCAAATTTTATCTTCTTGTTTTTTTTTTTTTTCCGGTGTGACATATATATGATTGATTAACATGTAATCACTTTTGAGCTGAAATTATATTGGCGATTTAGGTTAAAATCCTTGTCTGAATCTGATATTTCAATAAAATGTAAGATGTTTTTTGCTATAAAAAATGTGAGACTTCTTTTCCCAACGTGTGATATTTTAAGTTTGGTTGTGCTAAACTTTGTAATGTTCCGTTTTAAATTTGCTAATTATGACAAGAGATTTTTACATACCTATACACTATTGGAAACTTTATTATATTCCCTACTCAAGTTTCACTTTAATTACCTCCTATATACAAAATTACCAATTATGTACATTCTTAGGATTTAATGATAACTAATCAATTCCTACAATCACTCCCACTCCACCCACGTTTCTCTCTCTGTATCCCACTCCCCCCACGTTTCTCTCTCCACATCCCAACCCCCTCCCCCACGGATCTTGCACAAGAGAGCAGCAATTCCACCATTGATAGCCATTAAAAAGCTTTGAAGCTTTGAATTCGAATTTGGGTTTTCAAAAAATATTATTTGTTTGAATTGGGTGTTGTTGCAAGCAATTGGGAATTCTCTCTACGTCTCTCTCTATCTCTCAATCCCTAATTCCAGTAATGTAAAGCAAAGGAAAAGAGAGCAACAATTCCACCATTGACAGCCATTAAAAAGCTTTGAAGCTTTGAATTCGAATTTGGGTTTTCAAAAATCATTATTTGTTTGGATTGTGTGTTGTTACAAACAATTGGGAATATGGTTTGAAGTTTATATCTCAATTTTGAGGGTGTTTTGGTGAAGATTAGACTTGATTTTGGCTGAATTTCAGATTGAAACTCGAAGAAGAAGACATGACATACATTATACTGCAGAAATTATAGTAAAGTTGTAGTAAAATTGTAGAAAAATTATATTTTGTTGTTTATATATATATATATATATATATATATATATATATATATATATTAATTTAAATATTGTATGAAAGTTGAACAATATTTTATAAAAATTGTATTTAAGTTGTATGATATTGTAGTTGTATATAACTGGATAGAAATAATATATGAAAATTGTAGATAAGTTGTATAATATATAATTAATTGTATGAAATTTATTTTTACTATGTATAAATCAGATACAGAATATACAAAAGACATATTTGTATAAAAATTGAATTTAAGTTGTATGATATTGTAGTTGAATATAACTGGGTAAAAATAATGTATGAAAGTGTACATAAATTGTAAATAAGTTGTAGACTGAATACATTTTTACTTGACCCACCTTCCTTTTGACAGATACTTGACTGAATACATTTCAGACACGCATATCTATTTTTTTTTCACTTAGACCAATCTTTACAACACAAGAAACAAAACAAAACATATTGTCCGCTTGAAGTGCAGAGGAGCAAGTCCACCTTTTCCAGTTTGTCAGTGACATTTCCAGAACTTAGGAGGATGAGATGCTGTGTGTTTCCTTTGCTTCAAATCCCGTGAATTTTCCACTCTGAATCCAATCCATTCTCTTGTTTGGCTTAATTCAAAAATCAAAGCTTTTATCCAACAAGTAAACCATTTTTAAGCTCTCTTAGCCTACTCTAAAGAACCTCATTTTCCTCTCAACACCTCCAAATTCACTTTTCCTGCTCTCCTAAAAGCTTGCGCCTTTCTTTATACACAGAGAGAAGTCAAAGGTTATGAAATGGCTGACTAAGATTTTCAAGGGTGGGTCATGTAATAGGGGATCACCACGTGTACGTCAACCCCAGTTTCTAGAAGATGAAAATATGGTTTGGCGTGTTCCAGTCAGATCATTGATAATTTTTTTAACTTTTCATTTTGAATTCAGGAATTTTGGCTGCTTCAGAAGTTAAATTCTACCAGTCATGACTCAACCTTTTGCTTTATCTTTTCTAACATCTAACTGATTTAGCCTATCTGTTCTTGAATTTTGTTCTGTCGTTTTAAATTGAATTTCATGCTCCTCTGATTGAATGTTTCTTAACGCAATTTTAAAGTTCAACAGGATGATCGCTCTAGGGCTAGTACAGAAAAAGAGGAAATAGACCAAAATGCAACTGCATTATCTTTGGCCGAAGATTTGAAAAGACCGGGTAGAAATTAAAATTTTTAATTTGTATAAGGAAAAGGGTGTAACTAAATCTCTTGATTGAAGGCACAAATAATGGATTTGGGAGCCTTTTAAGGTGGATTGTATATATTCTGTAAACAAAACTTGGTTATGCCGGGTAATTAACTAAATATGGACATTAAGGGTAATAAAGTTTCAAATAGTGTATAGGTTTTAAAAAATCCCTTATGACAATATCCCCTCAAAAAGCCTATATTTGTACACCCAACTTCAAGGTTTGGGCCAGAAAAGAACTTCAGTATTTGGGCTCTTATTATAGCTTCAACCGATGAAGAATTAAGGGGGCTAGTTGCAGTCATACCCTATATTTATGCCACCTTTTAACTTGTACTCTATTTTTAAAAATTATTGATTGGGTAGCGAGCTGACAAAAATCCGTAATAATTATGATCATTATACCCTGACAAAACATATAAAAGATGCATCACGCATAAATCACTTTACGGTTCTCCTCCATCACCCCGTCTCTCCTCAGATCTCCTCTCGCAAACTAGAAATTTGAACCAGATTTAAATTCCAAATTCAAAATTACAAAATACATTGTAAGTATTGCAATTCATCTTCAGAATTCAAATTAGTTTTTGAAACTGATTGATCTTCATGATATATGTTTCTATAATTATTTTCGTAATTCACATTTGCATGAAGTTGTTTGACGGATGAAACATGAACTTTTTACTGATAGATTTCACTGACGGATGAAGTTGCATTCTAAATTTGTTTCACGTTGAATTCTAAAGTCAAGCAGAAGATTCTTCACGTTAAACCTAATTTAACGTCAAAGTTAAAAATTCAAATATGCTGAAGTTTTGTACTGCATAACATGCTGAAGTTTTTGGTTTATTTGCTAAACAAGCTGAGTTTTTATAATTTGCTAAAATTTCACACCAAAAATGCTGAAGTATTTGTCTTGCAGTCTAAACAAGCTGAAGTTTTTTAGTTCATTTGCTAAGACTTCAACACTAAAATATGCTGAAGTTATGTCCTGTGTTCAATAGTTTTGTCATGAGCTTTTTCCAAAACTTCAGCATAAAATGCTGAAGTTGTTTAGTTCATTTGTAAAAACTTCAGGACAAACGTGCTGAAGTTTTCCTCCTGCACTATGTAATTTTCTAGTGAATTTTATTTAATGCATGCTGAAGTAAAATTTAGTTCATTTGCTGAAAGTTCATACCAAAACGTGCTTAAGTTTTGTCCTGCATTAAACAGCTTTTTTTAGAGCTTTTGTTCGAAAACTTCAGTATAAACAAGCTGAAGTTTTTTAGTTCATTTGCTAAGACTTCAGCACTAAAATATGCTGAAATTTTTTGTCACGACCCAAGTTCTCCCTCCGTGAACTGTCGTGACGGCACCTAGTCTCTACGACTAGGTAAGCCTATCATTTGCGAAAAAAGGAAAAAATAAAATACGAAACTAGCAAATTACGAGTAATATAATAAAGAAACTTATAATGCCACTCGGCATATGCAATAACACTCTTTTAAACTGAACAACACACTCCCAAAACTCGGAATCTCATGAAATCACAAGCTAGAGAGAATTTACATAGTGTACTAACTCCAGAATGTCTAAACCAAAAGTAAATACAGGAAATCTAAAGCTAAAGGAAAGAATAGAGAGGGACTTCTAGGTCTGCGGACGCGGCAGATATACCTCGAAGTCTCTGAAATCGCCCGCCTCACTGATGGAACGGTTGAGATAAGAACCTGGATCTGCACACGAAAAACATGTGCAGGAAAGGGCATGAGTACACCACAGCGGTACCCAGTAAGTGCCCAGCCTAACCTCGGTCGGATAGTGACGAGGAAGGTCAGGGCGCTACTGGTTATATAAATATATAATAAGGTAAAACAGTATAGAACGTGACAGTGTAATTAATATGCTAACAGTCAAATAAAGGGAAATCTCAGAAAGAAAATAACTCAGTAAGCAGTGATAACAACAGGGGATCTCCCAGGATAACGTCCTGTAGTCCCAAACATAAATGTGCCGAGGAGCTCCCGGGATACCGTCCCATAGTCCAAAAGTAAATAGCCAGTACAGGGGGATCTCCTAGGATACCATCCCATAGTCCCAAATAATAAAATGCAGGGGGGATCTCCCGGAATACCGATCCGTAGTCCCAAAGTAAACAAGCAAGGGGGATCTCCTAGGATACCGTCCCGTAGTCCCAAAGTAAACACACAACAGTCTCAAAAAGGATCAACAGTTCTATTCAAGAAAAATGGGATTTCTACTCTAAACATGCTACACAGAAAACCAAGTAAGCAGTTAAGGCAGTTAAGTCACATAATCATGTTTTCCTAAGCTAAACAGGAACTTCAAGTACAAGTATTGCTCAATTAAGGAAAACACAGATATTTACTTAATGAAAACAGAGTTTTTCAACAATTAGCACCTGTACACACTCGTC